TCTTGCTTCATTTATTCAGCAAAGAGATACTGAGCACCTGCTGTAGCAAAGCGCCGCAAAGGGAAGAGTGAAGCAGAAGTCAGGAGCCTCTGAGCATCCTGCAAGGGAGCCGGTGTTTAGAATCTGGCAGCAGTGTTCGCCTCCTTGTTGAAAATAAGAAACGCCTGGACTGCAGATTACCAACCAACACAGACCTTCTCAATCAGAAGCACCGTAAGAGTTTGGAGTCTGTATATGCATACTGAGGTAAAATAGACGTAAGGAGTTCCTGAAATCAGTGGTTCTGATCATTCCCCGGCCTCTCGTTTTTCTGGTTGTTACAGTGAAAGGACAAATTCTAGAGCTTCTACTCTGCCATTTTACATGATGTCACTCTTCTGGAGTCTGTATTTTTAATTTAGGCCTCTAATGTTACTGGGGCAGGCAGGGAGTCTCAGGTGTAAAGGAAACAATAATTGGGGAATCAGCTGTAACCTCAGATAAGAGATCCCTGATTAATAAGTGCATTCACCCAGTCAGCAAGCATTTATTGCGCAAATGAAGGGTATAGAAATAGAAAAAACAGACATGGTTCCTGCTCTCATGGGCGTTTATGTTCTGGGGAGCAAATCACTTCAAACAATTTTCACATAAAACAAGAGTTTGAACTACACTGCTTAAAGATATGCTGGGTCCAAATATACATGATTTGAACAAACATAATTCAAATAAACATGATTCTAGAAAGGGAAATCAGTCTGATTTTCTAAGAAAAACTCCAGCAAATGTTAAATTACCCAAGGACCAAAAGATGACCGCCCCCCCCCGCCCCCCGGCTTTGTAAGAAAGAGAACACAGAGGTGGAGAGGGTTGCCGTTGGAAACCACAGGGTAGGATCCCCTGTGCCCAGGAGCGGACTATGGACATGGCACACCAGGACATACTGCGATTCCTGGAGAAAAATCGAACTTAAAGGACAGTAAGCAGAAAATAAAATGAACTGAGACTCACCTGAGAGGATGATCCGGAACGATGGGCCGCCGGCAGGCAGCGTTACAGAACCCCAGTGTAGTCACTCGGACCGCCTCCCTTTCCATTTTTTGGGCTCTTAACACACCGCTGGACCCAGCAGCTCAAACATCATCAGTGCTTTGTCCTCTTTTTCAGGCAGGAGGACCCGGAAGAGGAGCACAAGACACCTGAACTCTCCAGTGAAGCAATCCTAGTGGAAAGGGTTTCTGTAAACCTGCCCTGGAAGAAAGGTTGAAAGGAGGATGCTGACTGGCCCATCCTGGCCCAATGACTGCAGTCGGAAGGATGGAAGTCTTGTGAGTGGTCAAGCCTGCACGTGGAGGTCAGCCCTATGAAAGGGCTGGGAGGGGCTTTTTATCATCAAAAAGGGGCACGGTGGCCGGGCCCCGTGGCTCACATCTGTAATCCCAGCACTTTGGGAGGCTGAGGCGGGCGGATCACGAGGTTAAGAGATTGAGACCATCCTGGCCGAGGTGAAACCCTGTCTCTACTAAAAATACGAAAATTAGCCGGATGCGGTGGTGGATGCCTGTAATCCCAGCTACTCGGGAGGCTGAGGCAGGAGAATTGCTTGAACCCAGGAGGCAGAGGTTGCAGTGAGCCGATCGGGTGCCACTGCACTTCAGCCTGGCGATAGAGCGAGACTCTGTCTCAAAAAAACAAACAAAAACGGAGCATGGGGTATCATTCTGTAAAGCGGGAGATGCTGGTGAACAGTGAAAATTTTAATGACGTTGCTGGTGCTGGCTTCCAGGGCCAGCCAGCAGGGGTACCAGTGGCTCTATAATGATATATAATTGAGTCAGGGCTGGGGTGCGACATTCTCCAGGCGACTTCTACCATGTCTTTGTAATGCTAGGTGAACCGGAGATTTGGAAAGGCATACAAGGTGGAAGCAGCCCCAACAATCTATGACAAAGTAATGCTTGCCTCTTTTATACACCATGTTAGGTGGCTGAGGAAAATAAGACATTTTCTTGAACCACTAGGCCAATTATTCCCTAGGCTTGAGAAATACCATAGCATAGGTAATTTGGTCTCAGAATGAGCTATTTGACCCTCCGGTAACTGTTACTGCTCATAATGTGGCACTTTCTGCCTCTGTCACCAGAAATAGCACTAAGGACTCCAAAACGTATTTCCAACAGGCCTTCCAGACCCCTCTTCCTTTTGCAGTTAGGAGCAGTTTGGCCATGATCTTTGGGTTCCAATACACGGCCCCTTGTTGCTCACACATGCTTCCTCCATTGCGACCCTCCATCAAGCATATGAATAACCTCCCACAGTCCTCAGAAGCCATGGATGAGGTAGCAGTGCTGAGTGGCTTCTGCCAGGACCTCTGGGAGCATAATTTTATTGCGTTAGGCAGGGTTGAGTGATTCAATCTAAGGTTGAGGCAAGGCGAGGGCAGCTGGGAACCCTAGAACTAATGGAATTTCTTAACTGCCCCATTTCCTGACCATAGGAGGGAAGGGGAGCTCCTTTTCAGGGAACAGACTAAGTCCTTTAAAGTGGTGAGTTTTCAGCTGACATGTGGAGGGAGCACAAATCACTTGGCCCACATTCTTTCCCTGTTCCCTGACCATCTTATGGCATTAATACTCCACCAGATCATATAGACAATAACTTCACTTACTTACTAGACCTCATCTAGCATTGACATAGTTAACACAATTCTAGGGTAGGCTGGCTATCTTCCTGTCTCCAAAAGATTAGAAACAGTGAATTATCTATCTGTGTGCTAGAAAAGAGTGTTCATCCACAGCAGAAGGGAAAATAGCATTCACTGGACAAATACTCATTGAACTCCTGCACTGTGCTAGGTATTAGCGAGTATGGCAGTAAGAAAAACAAAGTTCTCACCCTCGTGGAGCTAACAGGCATTAAACAAATAATTATACAAGTGTTTACAGTTATGAGCAATGCTATGAAAGAAAGGAAGCTATGAGAGCTTGTGGCAGGAGGACCAATCCTAAATTGCTGGGATCAGGGAAGGCTTCTAGAAGACTTAAAAGGAGGCACGAAATAAACATTATTAAGGCCAAAAGGAAGAGCAGAGAGCCTGAGAAGCTTGGAGCCCAGGAACCTACAAAAGTCGGTGTACTTGGGGCAGAGAAGGCAGAATAATGTGAGGTGATAGTAGAGAGACAGGCAAGGGGCCAGTGCAGACAAGGCCTCTTGGTCATGTTAAAGATTCTCAACCTAAGGAAAGTTTTCAGCAGAGAAGTGACAAAAGATATGCACCTTTATAGACTTCCTCTGCTAGGCATGTGGAGAATGGACTGAGGAAGGCGGGTGTGGGTATGGGTGGGAAAGCAAATGGGCTACTATTGGAATCTATGGGAGAGAAGATACACCTGTACCTTAGGCAGTTTTAAGGCATGATTACAAGTAAAAATCAACTGGCTTAAACATAAGTTAGGAGTGTCAAGTTTAGGAGAGGCAGGGGTCAAGGATGATCCCAGATCTCTGAGATGGGAAATTCAGTGGGTAGTGAAAATATTTACTAAGGAAAGGAGCCCTGTAAAAATTTGGGGTGGGAGAGGATTATGAATTCCCCTTTGGCTACACTGGCTGACAGGTACATGGAAGACACCCATGTGGAGTTGCAGAAGTACTTACATATGAGTCTGGAGCCCAAGAATGGTCTGGAACTGTAAATCTAGTAGTATCTATTTGGGTTAGAGACAGAAATGGAGGCCATGGGCTTAGATGAGCTCACCAAGGGAGAAAGTATGGTATTAGAGCTGGGCCGACGACTGAGCACTGAGAAAATCTGCCATTTCAAGATGGAATGGGAGATAGTTACAGAACTGGGGAGATATGGAAGCAGGAATGTGGTAGCCAGGTTCCATGTTGGCCTCCAATGACACCACCTCCTGGTATCCATGTCCTTGTGTAGTCTCCTTCCAAACTGAATGAGGCTAACCTGCATAAAAACATGAGACTGGAAATGACAGTGCAAGCCTGAGGCTGTGAGTACAAAATCTTTTTAAGATCTCACAAAGGCCTGATGTGGCATCCCAGAGAGCTCTTCAGATAATAAGGCTTCTAAGAAGCACAGGGTATTGTCCCTTGGGAGTCTGAGCAGAGGCTCAAGGTGGACTCATTGAACTCCTGCACTGTGCTAGGCATTAGGAGTATAGCAGTAAGCAACACAAATAGCACTAAGGACTCCAACAAGTATTTCCAACAGGCCTTCCAGATCCTTCTTCCTTTCTGCAGTTAGGAGCAGTTTGGCCATGATCTTTGGGTTCCAATACATGGCCCCTTGTTGCTCACACATGCTTCCTCCATTGCGACCCTCCATCAAGCATATGAATAATGTCCCAGAGTCCTCAGAAGCCATGGATGAGGTAGCAGTGCTGGGTGGCTTCTGCCAGGACCTCTGGGAGATTTGTGGGTGTGGTTTTAGTGCGTGAACTTCAGTAAGACTCAGGTGACACATTCAAAATAATGTTCACGGTAACTGTTGCTTGAATGGAAAGGGATTCAGTGCAAAATGTTAACACATTTTGGGCTGTTGGGCCCCTGAAATCCTTCTGGCAGGCAGCAGGCAGAGAAAGCTATGTGGCTGGAAATGTGGGCTACCTTTCATGGAAAGGGAAGGATAACTCATGTGGGGCCAAGAGCTCAGCCTCCAAGATTGCCTATGACCAACTCCATCTTCTGGTAGTCACATTTTTGTGTACTTCCGCCCCCCCTCCCCCCAACCCCAGCTCAGTGAATAGGATTGACCTGCATAACCAATACACTATGGAATGACACTGTGACATTTGAGGCCAAGTCATAAAGGACAATGCAGCTTCCACCCTGCTGTCTTGGATGACCTGCTCTGGGAGAATCACTTCCCTTATGAAGAGGATATCCAAGCAGATCTAGAGCTGCAGGTGCTCATATGCGTTAACCTCAGGCTAATGCAAAAGCTTCTTTATGACAGAAGACTCCAAACACATTTTCCTAAAAACAATCACTACCATCAACTCATATCGATATTGCAATTTATATTAAAAGTACTTTCACCACAACTTGCTTTATGCTCCCAGTGAACCCTACGAGGTGCGTGGGTTTATAGAAAGGGCAAATCCAGTCAGTCCCAGCTCCCAAGTGAGGAGGCGAAGTTCTAAGGGGCTTCTGTTCCTTGGTAAGGCCACACATGATATTCATGGTGTTGGTCTCCTGACATCAAGTTCAGAGCTTTTCTGAAAACATCCAGGCATCATTCAACAGGGATTGTGCGTTCTATTTGCATTTTACAGATACTCTCAGAGTAGCTCTAGCAGAACTTTCCATGGCAATGTGTCCCCCTTGTAATGCTTCCATACTATCCTTCCTGTAGCTGGAGCCCTGGATGGAGATGGACTCTGTCTTCTTTCCACTTGGGGTCCTATGCAACAGTGTAACTGGAACGTCTATAACAGTTCGTGGGTGGCCAGACAGTGCTGCCATTGTTCAATACATTCCTCACCGGAAGCTGTCTTCAGTAAGCCAAACTTCTTCCCAGTAAGAAAACCTGTCTACGAGTTTACAGTTATGCTTCATTCTTAAATTTAAAATGGCATCAGCCTGATTGCCTCCTTTAATCATCAGATTTTCAGCTGCTTCCTTTTGGCCTTCTCAGAGGCCAAAACTTTACAAAGAGAGTATATCCAAAAATACTTGTTGCAGGCTCTGAGGGCACACCTAAAGACATTCCAGAAAGCCCAGCAGCAACAGCCCTCTAAAGAGAACAATGAGGAATGTACCATTACAATTCCGATAAAAAGAATGGCTTTGTGTGTCGAGGAGTACTTTGTATGCTTTGTCTAATTAATCCTCAAAAGAATCCCATGAGGTAGGATAAAGGCCCAAACACGAAACATTACCATGTGTTCACAAAGGCATAATGCCCTGATATCACAAAGGGCAAATGTTAACACCTAAAACTTACACTGTGAATAGCTCATGCCTCCCCAGCAACAGCCACCATCCCCTTGGAGGATTGCTCTGCTAGGGATCTGTGCCAATTTGGTGTTTTTCACACACTTTGAAGCAGTGTTTTGCCATTCCCACATCACTCAGAGGTTTTGGGTAGATGCAGAGTGCATAAAATGGAAATAAGTACATCTTGCTTTCTGAGAAATTCGAGACAGACTCTTCTAACCCAACTTCTACGGCTCCCAACTGACTTCTCTTGTACCCACCTAAAACAGAAGGATGTAAGAAATCAAATTTCAAACTAATCTTTCCTTCTTTGTTTCATTCCCATCTGGATTAGTGCAAGGTAGTAAGCAATAAAGATTCAATCCAAGAACCTGTTCTTAAGTGGCAATTTGAAGAGCCAATGTTTGGCACCAGATATCACTGTACACATTTTAAAACCCATGTTTCTTGAGAACCACCTCAGCCAATTGTGATCAGCTTATTTCTGACCCCTCCTTCAAAGCAGCAGAATCACAGAAAGCAGCCAAGTGAGAATTGCCATAATCAGGAGGAAGACCAATAGCCAATCCCAAACAAAACAGTCCGAGTCACAACTTCCAGAACTTCTGCCATGACCATGGGCTTTAAACCACTCCACTACTTCCTGGAGGTCAAATGGCTGAGCCTGATAACCTAGCTCTTTCTTGGCTTTCTCTAAGCTAAAATAATGTGTCACACCAGTTTTGTAAACTTCAGTGCGAGTGAGGAAGGGCTGGAAGTTGTAGAGTCGACCCAAAATGAAGTGAACCATCTCTGTTAGAAAAGCAAAGCAGTAGACCAAGGTCAATGGCAGGCGGGTAGATGGGAACGTGTAGCCCAGGCCCTCAACCAGAGGCCGGAAGAACTCAAAGTTGTTCACAGGTCTGCCATCTGAGATGAAGTAGGGCTGTCCAGAGGCAATATGGCCTTTGTCAGCTCTCAGGGCTTCTGAGGCCAGAATGTGAGCCTGCACCAAGTTATCCACGTGGACAAACTCCACCAGGCTCCCAGGGTCCCCGTAGACAAACTTGAACAGACCCTTCTCGATGTAGCTGACTATTCTGGGAAGGTGTCTTTGTTCTCCAGGCCCATAGATGCCAGCTGGCCTCAGAGCACAGGTTCTTAAGACACCATCACCTCCATTCAGGGGTGTACCATTTGCCTCCAGCACCTTCTTCTCTGCAATAGATTTGGTCCGAGAGTAGTGATCAGGGTGGAGGTGAAGAGGCAGGTAGGGCAGAGATTCATCCCCATTTCTGATAACTTGACCTCCGAAGATGACATTGAAAGTGCTGGTGTAAACTAACCTGGGTACCATTCTCCTTTGGCAAGCCTGGAGGATGTTTTCTGTGCCCCTGATGTTGACTTCTTCGATTGGGTTTCGACTGAGTTGCTCCTTCCCTGACATACCATAAGAGGCAATATGGAACACACAAGTGACGTCTGCATCCTGGAAGGCTTTCTCTACGTCAGACATGTGGCGGATGTCTCCTTGTATAAACTTGATTCCTTCTGGAATGGTTTGAGCAGGGCTGTTTATGTCAAACAGAATCACATGGACTCCCTTTTGGTTCAGAGCACAGCCCAGCCTGGAATGAGAAACAGTAAACAGTGAAACAAGTCACTTTTAAGCTGTGCCTGGGAGAACTGTATAAAGCAATTTATCAATCAAGGTGGGGCTGATCCGAGTCTTCTTGGCTCATCCTGAGTTCCTCACTGTGTGTGTTCCTTGGTGCAAGGCTCACTTCTTCAAATTTTCAAAAATGAAAATCCTCTCATCTACTTAAATTACAGAGAAAGGCTTTATCTTCGAAGAACGGTGGCATTTTTTCCTCCTCGGTTCTAGGGCCCACTATCTATTCTCTGGAATATTTGTGAATAATGTAACTGTGAAAGACTAGCTATGATTTAAAATTGGTTTTGGTGATGTTAATAGTCACCCCTCCCAATTTAATGGCTTCATAAAGAATTTTTCTTAAAGTGAAATATACCTCTAGTTCTCAACTGCAGTGTCTGAGCAGTGGGCAACTCAGTTCATTTCTGGTTTGCCATTATACAAATAAGTAAAAGTCTACTTTGATGTCAGAGTTGAAAGCTTCTGGAAACTACCAGTAAAATAATTCCATGAGTATATTTTATAGACACACTTACCGAAAACCAAAATAGCCACCTCCTCCTGTAATGAGGACAGTTTCCTTTGGAGATCTTTTGGGGTCCATATGTGGCAGTCAAAAGCTAACTGGACCTATAAGAAAGGAAGACGTGTGCATCACTGTTACTGATCCAAATGCAAATGGGATTCTCCCTAATTTTGAGCTAACAAAAAGTCAATATACTGTAGAAGAATGAAAAGGTAAGGCCTGGGTCTAGTCACAACTGTGTCATGTTAGCTACTTTCCCTTCAGTTCCTGGGCTTCAGATTTGTCCCTGTGTAACATGGGGACAGGAATATCTGCTCTGCCCACATGAAAAGGTTAATGTGAAGATTAAATGAGAGTGTACTTGGCAGTGCTTTGAGAACCACAAAAAAAGATTCAAATGTAAGGCATTATTTTTGTTTGTTGAAAATGATTAGAGCCTTTTTGAAAATAATTGATTCAAATTTGGTAAGAAGAGGTATTTCCCCCTATGCATCAGAAAATTAGAACTCTAAAGGAAGCTCCCAGCATCTTTTCTTTAAAATAGCACACTGCAGCATGGTTTAATACTGTTTTATTAATCCTATACTTAAAAAAAATATATGGGGAAAAACTCCTTTATGTAGCAAACCATGCCCCACCTCCCCCACTACAAATCTTGCAAGTACTTAAAGTACAAGTGCTCAGTGCCTTTAGGGGTCCCACTTTGCTCTCTCTCTTCTTCTGTGGCCCTCCCTTCATTCCTTTCAAGGCTCTAAGAACCCCTTGTCTCAAAAAAAAAAAAAAAAAAAAAGCAATAGGTAAGCCACTCAACTCCCTCCATATAAGAGGGAAAGAAATGGAACAGGAGGCACACAGACCCTCAAAGGCACTGGACACACACACACACACACAAACATACACGCACGCAAGTCAACGGAGATGCTCAGAGCTGTGGTTAGGCATGAAGACTGCAAGTAACCAAAAGCCCCACCATTTCTCTCTCCCAACCAGGTACCCATGACTGCAGCCACCGCATCATGTAAGAGGACTTCAACATGGAACAGCATGGAGACGGGTAAGGAGTGGGAGCAGCAGAGGTTGGGCTATGCAGGATGAAGAGCTTGTATGGCAGAGAGGCTGTGAGTATGAAGTCAGTGTACATACACAAGGAAAGAAAAAACACACGGGACAGGAATACACAGTGAAGATGTTTTGCCTCCGCCCTTAAATGGTTAAGTGATATTGGCCAAGACACTTTACTTTTCTAGATTTCACTTTTCCATCTGGTTATGTTGTGTTATGTTACAGAAATGCTAAGGTTTCTAAAAAGGCAGACTGGTACAGTGGAAATAATAATGACAAACGCATACCTAGTGCTTACTACTAGGGCCAGGCAGTATGCTAAGTGCTTTATGTATATGTTAGCCATTTAATCCTTTTAATAATCTTACCAGGAAAGTACTATTGGTATCCTGTTTTTCGCCCGAGAAAAATAAACCACAGAGACAGTAAGTAACTTGCCCAAGCTTACCTGGATTCACATCCAATGGCAGTTTGGCCCCAGGAGTCTGCACTCTTAACCACTAAAACACAGTTTTAAATGGAAAGAGAATGGACTTTGGAGTCCACTTGCCAGTTGTGTGATTTTGGACTGTGTGTTTACCACATGTGTTAAACTCTCTGAACCTGTTGCTTCATCTAAAAAGTGGAGCTGATAATAAGCTTGCATAAAATGTCCAACAAAACACCTGACACCGGACGGGCACTCCACAGATTTCATTCCTCAGGTTGCCTTTTTTCACACTCTAGAGTTTGGGAATTCTACTATTTTTATCACATTTCAACATATCATAATTAGATCTCTCAAAAGCACAAGGTTACAAAGAGTTTCGTAAGGTCTGGGTACCTGTGTGAGTGTGTAAGACTGCCAATGAAGCGAATCAGATCACTCACGCAGAATCAGCCAATGTGACAAGTGAAGACAAGGTTCAGCAAGTGACTGTCTCAGTGGCTTGAGGGTATGGAGAAGAGTGAGAAATATCAGGGAAACTGAGCAAAAATGGTGCAGAGGACAGCTGATGAGTTCCCAAGGTTCCAGTAAACAATTGCCATGGCTGTGCTTTCAAGAAAATTCAGGAAGAATGAACATGCCAGCACTCCCTCAATGTACCTAACAGTGACCTTGTGATTCTATTGTTTTCTGAGTGCAGAACACTCCCATTTGGATTTAGAGTACTCATAACACCAAATGCAATCAATTCTATTATTTAGTGTAATCACAACAGTTCATGACGAACCCTGTTTCCCAACACAGTAGACATCAGATACGGGTATTTCAATACAGACTTCTCGCGTTCACCTCCATGATCTGGTCACAGCCTCCCACTCTTCTGCTACTGGAACTCTGTGCTCCAACCAGACAGACTTTCCTTTCTTTCCTTGAAGATGTGGAGCTCATTAGTGCCTCCTGTTCTCACTTCAGTGTGACACATGATGCTATGAGGTCCTTTTTTGACTGCATGATTCTCAATATTTAGGTCTGCTCACATGTTCTCAGAGAGGCTTCTCTGATCACCCCAGCTAACAGAGCTGCCTGTCCCCTAAATGTTGATTTGTTTTCTTCATGGTACATTTCACTATCTATCTAAAACTATTTACTTTATTTATTTTTTTAATTGACCTCCTTCCCACAGAATGTTAAGTTCTATGAGAACTGAGGTCTTCTGTCTTCTGGGGTGTCCCTACTACAATCTGGAACATAATAGATGCTCAATAAATATTTGTTGAATCTATGGATTATTCTGAGCACCCTAAAATATAACCAATTAAGCAAAATTCTCATGGGCAGAAATTACCCAGGGCCCTGCAATGTCTAAGAGTCACTGTTCTGCATGATATTATGCTGCCATTTTAACAATAATGGATCTCTTAAAAAGTGCTGGGTTATGGAATGGAAGATGCCAACCCAAATGAGATAGAGGCCCTGCATTCCAGAGCTTACACATGAGAAACAGGCTTCTATAGATACAAAAGGAAAAGGCAAAAGAGTGAAAATAAGATTACTGTTATAATGTTGGTATAAACAAAGTGCTGTGGGAACACCAAGGTGAGGGGGCGGAGGCTGGTTCTGACAGGGCAGATCAGGAAGAGTTCATGGCAGAGTGAGATTTAGAGCTACAGGGACCATGGGAAGATCTAGGTAGGCTGAGAGAAGGGTTATCACAGGTGAGGGTGCACCTCGAATAAATGGACCAGAGGCAGGAAAGGCTGTGCTGGGCAGCTAACATGGTGAGTCCTCCATGGCTGGTGTGCAAACTCAAGTGTGGAGATGGTGCTTGAGGGTGAGAAGATAGCCTTGAGTGAGCCTGGAGACAGGCTTCTGTTCCCTTCCAAGGAGTTTGAATCCCATTCTTTTCTTTCTTTCTTTCTTTATTTCTGAGACAAGGTCTCATTCTGTTGCCCAGGCTGGAGTGCAGAGGTGTGACCATGGCTCATTGCAGCCTCAATTTCCCGGCCTCAAGATATCCTCCTACCTCAGCATCCTGAGTAGCTGGGACTACAGGCGTGCGCCATCACGCATGGCTAACTGAATTCCACTCCACAGACAACAACAGCCTTTGTAGGATTAGAGCAAGGAACTGTTGGGGCCACCTTGGTACTTGTGAAAGAGGAGGCTTCCCCTGGAGGAAGAAATGGGCCAGGGTCTAGGGAAGAGAGATGAGGCTCTAGACTAGAGGGTTACCGGTGAGGACAAAAGGCCAGTGTGCTCAGGTGAAATCAGGGTGAGGGCAGGTGAACAACTGCAGGAGGAGGCAGTGCGCAGCACCCAGATGAAGTTCTGAGGAAGGCGATGTCATTAACTGAAACACTAGGCTTTGGAAATGTTCTTGTCTGGTTGAAAGTTTTGATAAACAGGATGCCACATAACAATTTAAGATATTCTTCTTATTTCTGTAAGAATTCCGCCATAAGGAATCCTGGAAATGTACAGGCCTTCAAAAGCCCAATTAAAAAATTCCAACGGAAATACCTCCTATCTCTAATTAGTGTTTGGTTTTAAAATTACGCATTCCAGTCCAGTCACAAGACCACAGGTCAATCATGGTTCAAGTGCACATTAATCAAGTGAGGAACATACAACTTTGGATTATTAATGCTTTGGAAATCTGCCAGGCCTACTGATGCTACCCCAGTACCTTCAAACTAGCTTCAGAATGATCTGAGGCAAAAACCTGTATAAGTGACCTGATCAGGGGACTCAGAAGAGAAAGGTAAGGACAACTTAATAATTTAACATGATAAACAGCAAGGAAAAATCTTATCCACCAGGTCAGTAAAACCTTCACAGGATGGCAGTCATCTGTTGCACTGCTGGGGAGCCGCCTCCTCCCTTCCTGATCCCCAACATTGTTAAGCACAGAAAAAATCTCAGCAAACACATATTGCAGAAACCACCATGCCCAACCCCCAAAATTCTCATGAATGCTAAGCCAGAAGGGAGAAAAGAAAATATACAATTGTTCTTCAACCAGCTGCTCGATTTTCATCTACTCTGTGGCTTCTGTTTTATTAATTAGTTTCTATCTGATTCCTCCTAGGTCTGGGCACTCAGACCTGCTTTTACAAAGGCAACTGCTTGAAGGCTCTTCCAAAACGTGGCTTTGTTCAGTAATTGCTCTTCCCTGGTTGGGAGGGCTACATCTGACCTAAGCAGTCATTTTGGTGGATACAGGTTAAAGTTAAGCACATGATCAAGAAAGAAAAAAAAAAAAAAAAAAGGTTTAATTACAAACAGGAAAAAAAATGTAAATTTAAAATCCACCTAACCTCTGGAGAATACTAAGGTAAAGTGAGGGTAAGAATACTAAGGTAAAGTGAGGGTAATAAAGTTGACATCTCAAGGGAAGTTATGAGAAGAAACTAATAAAAGATGACTGGGAGTGCTTTACATTTTAAAAGACCTAATTAAATGCTAAGAATCAGAAATAAGAACCTTAGATTACGCACATAGTTCCTTCATCCCTATGAATTCAAGATGATTGTGCTATTAACACTCTGGTATTATAATGCAATATAGAAATATGGGTGTCATTAGCATTTCACCAATAGAAAGTATGGAACAGAGAGAATTTAAGACTGTCCCCATAAAAATTAAAAATTGTGATATTTACTTTAAGAGAAATAAAAATATCTCCAAGTAGTATAACCCTGTGATTAGGTGCTTTAAATCACTGTGTAAGTGCTGACCAGAGGTAAAAGGTAACTGTATTCTTATTATACTGAGATCTGGCAAATATATTGACGCCAGAGGCTCTTGAAATGGTGCTGTTCAAATTCCATGCATGATCTGAAAATTATCTACTTGTGTTTAATATAAGGCAGTCAGAACAATAAAGATAAATATGTAGTTAGAGGTGATAAGGAGAAGAAGCCTGATACAGTTGAAGGAGATGTGGTGTATAAAATCCATAAGAGGGTGGGGGTAGGGGTGCAGTGGCTCACACCTGTAATTCCAGCACTTTGGAAGGCCAAGGTGGGCAGATCACTTGAGGTCAGGAGTTCGAGACCAGCCTGGCCAACATGGTGAAACCCCGTCTCTACTAAAAACACCAAAAATTAGCAGGATGTCATGACACACACCTGTAATCTCAGCTACTATGAAGGGTGAGGCAGGAGAATTGCTTGAACCTGGGAGATGGAGGTTGCAGTGAGTGGAGTTTGTACCACTACCTTTCAGCCTGGATGACACAGTGACATTCCTCTTAAAAAAACAAAACAAAACAAAAAAAACTCCAAAAGGCCAAACACACTTGGGAAGAAAATTACCTAAGGGCGTAGAGTAAAAACCAGTACACTCATAATAGATATGGGTATTCATACAGAGTTTTGAATATAACTAGGTATCAGGACAGCTGTCTGTAATTCAGCATCATCACCCGAGGTGTTTCAAATCTTGTTCAGCTACCTAAACTTCTACCTAGATGTTAGTTGGACAAGAGCCTTGCAATTCCTCACAATGCTCATGACAAAGGAAATGAAATAATTTTATAATTGCTATTTACCATCTGTTTCCCAAGGTACTGTATAAATGTCATGTGAACACAGACCAGCAAAAACTGTAGGGACAAGGAATATCTAGCAGATTGTAGACCCAGTAAATCTAAATGGGGTGAACATTTTGCTAGCTCTTCAAATGCCTCTTTCTGTCCTATCTGGAAGGAGTACTACACTTACACTTTCTTCTTCACTAGGTCAGCAGTTTGCCACTTCTACAAATTGAAGTAATATCAACTCCCACTTATTAAGCACTTACTCTGTGCCAGGCATTGTGTAATACTCTGTCCATGAATTATTTCACTTGATGCTCAAAATAGCCCTCTGAGGTGAGTACTAATTTGTTGATCCAAGTTTACAAACGAGAAAACTGAGGCTCAGAGACACAAAGTGCCTAACTCCAGGTCCTATAGCTAGCAAATGGTAGAGCAGGGATCTGTACCAATAACCCAGGTGCATCTGACTGTACAGCTCATCTTAACTGCAGCAGCACTTGTGGCTGTGCAGAGCCCCTGGTCTGAAGTGCTGGGTACTGACCTGAGTCCTGTGACGGCTTTCACTATTAACACATTGTGCAACCTGACTGGGGCCTCTGCAGTTCCCAGTGAAAACAAATGGAGGTGCCCCATCTTCTCCCATGTGGCAGAGGTAGCAGTAATGAATGGTTAAGACTCCCAGGTTGGAAATCTGGGCATTAGACTTGGCTCTTCCAATTCCCTGTGTGACCTTGGACAATCAACTGAACCTCTCTTATCATGTCTCCTCCTCCCTAAAATAAAAACAACAACAACCCTGGCTACACTTATTATGGGTTGGGCAGTGATATGGTCTGGCTATGTCTCCCCCCAAGTTGCCTTTTGAATTGTAGTTCCCATGAGTCCCACATGTCCTTGGAGGGACCTGGTAGGAGGTAACTGAATCATGGGCATGCGTCTTTCCCATGCTGTTCTCATGATAGTCTCACAAGATCTGATGGTTTTATAAAGGAATGTTCCCCTACACAAGCTCTGTTGCCTGTTGCCACGTAAGATGTGACTTTGCTCCTACTTTGCTTTCTGCCATGATTATGAGGCCTCCCCAGTCATGTGGAACTGTGAGTCCACTAAACCTCTTTCCTTTATAAATTACCCAGTCTTGGGTATGTCTTTATTAGCAGCATGACAATGGACTAATACAGTAAATTGGTACTGGGTAGTGGGGTGCTACTGTAAAGATACCCGAAAATGTGGAAGTGACTTTGGAACTGGGTAACAGGCAAAGATTGGAACAGTTTGGAGGGTTCAAAAAAAGACAGGAAGATGTGGGAAAGTTTGGAACTTCCTAGAGACTTGTTGAATGGCTTTGACCAAAATGCTGATAGTGATATGGACAATAAAGCCCAAACTGAGATGGTCTCAGATGGAGATGAGGAACTTGTTGGGAACTGGGGTAAAAGTGACTCTTGCTATGTTTTAGCAAAGAAACTGGTGGCATTTTGACCTTGCCCTAGAGATCTGTGTAACTTTCAACTTCAGAGAGATGATTTAGGGTATCTGGGGTAAGAAATTTCTAAGCTGCTAACTATTCAAGAGGAAGCAGAGCAAAAAAGTTTGGAAAATTTGCAGCCTAATGATGAAACAGAAAAGGAAACCCCATTTTCTGGGGAAAAATTCGGGTATGTCTTTACTAGCAGCATGAGAACAGATTAATACAGGCAGTTTAAAGGTTTAGCATTTAAGCCTCAGGACAATCTTCTGAGGTAGTTACTACTACTATCATCAGCTTTCAGAAGTGAGGAAAATAAATCAAAGGTTAAGAACTTTACCCACAAATTATGCAGGTCATAAGTGACTGAGCAGGATCCAGGGCTTGAACCCGGGTCTGTATGACTCTTAACCACCATATGTAATGCTGCACACTAAGGATGGAACAATGCAGGTTCACTTATGTCATTCTCTTACCACTGTGAAAGGAAATCTGGTTCATCTGGTACTATGACTAGTCTATTAGGTTTTGTTTAAACGTGCTTACCTTTTCCCAACAACTACACGCAGTTTAAATGGGAACCTCTCATTGCCACTTTAAGTGGGAAACCAGAACCACGTCATAAAGAGGAGGTAGTCATTCCCACAAAGTGTGCAGAAAACAAAAAGTAGGAATCAAGTATAGACAGACACCTGCAGAAAGCTCTGAGCCTGGGGCCTAATGTCCCGCCCCCCCCCCCAAAAAAAATGAGGAGAGCCAGTGTTTGACGCCTTGGCGACATTCTAGAAAGCCAAGCTGCGCCTGGCCTGCTAGGATCAGGAAGAGGCCTGAAAGGAGATGCTCCTTCCCGCCACCCTGCTCAGTCACCACCACCGTCCCCGACTCCTGAGACCGCCACCAGCCGCG